GCTAACCATTTGGAAAGCCCAACCGTATGAGAATTATGTGGATGCAAATACATTTGTGATTGTCTCAAACATTGTAGTATTTCATGTTGGTAAAGCAGAGATGTGTGTGGAAACATTGGGGAGGTTTGTGGATGCCTGCTTGCAAGAGATTGGGGTGTGTGTGTGTGTGTACACACACACACACACACACACACACACAGAGTGGTACCTCGGGTTAAGTACTTAATTCTTTCTGGAGGTCCGTTCTTAACCTGAAACTGTTCTTAACCTGAAGCATCACTTTAGCTAATGGGGCCTCCTGCTGCTGCCATGCCGCAGGAGCATGATTTCTGTTCTCATCCTGAAGCAAAATTCTTAACCTGAAGCACTATTTCTGGTTTAGCAGAGTCTGTAACCTGAAGCGTATGTAACCCAAGGTACCACTGTATTGTGGGGCCTAAACCCTAGAAATTAATAAATGGTAGGGTTTTGATTAACTGGGATATGGATGAAAGTACAAGCTGCAGAACTGTGCCAGACAAGGAATCCCAGGGCTGGTTTATGCAAACCAGCCTGGCTTACCTGTTGAAGAGCAGATCTGTTAACATGACAAAAGGGGTTGATGGGCCATCCGAGAGGAATCCTTTGGCCTGGGGAGACAGAAGTTGCCAAGGTGATGGGGTCCTGCCACCTCAGACAGGAAAAAGGAGTCTTGAGCAAGAGTTGCTGGGAAGGAGGAAGCAGAGAAAAGACTGGGATCCATCTTGGGCAGGTTGGCTGAAGGCCGGCTGCACTGCTGTAAGGGACAAGCCCCTCTTGAAATGACCATGCTGCAAGATCTGGCCTCCCTCCATGTAGAGACGTAAATAGGTGGATAAACCATATTTCTTAAAGCTATGACAGTCTCTGCCGTGTCTCAATTCTCCAAAGGGAACCACAGACCCTGGATGAGTGCCTGAAGCCCCATAGGCTCTTGCTACCACTTGGCGGAGACAGGGCGAGGCACCCAACTTTTGCAACAATATGTTTACACCATATGCTATGTCTACTCAGAAGTAAGCCCCTTGAGTTCTCAGGTAAGCAGGCATCCCAACTGCAGCTGTGACGTGCCACGGGGCAGCTGAGACTTTTGCCTTGACAAAACGTTCTGAAGGAAGCAGCTAACGAAATTGAAGACAACATGTTTAAAAAATGCAGTCTGTGGAAATGCAGTCTGTGCTAGGAAAGGAACACATGGTCGGGAGTTGAAGAAAAAAAGTACATCTTCAGCAGCAGAAGCTGCAGGTTATAATTAAATGCATGGGAGTTTGGGCTGGTCACCTGTCCTTACGCACAGTGAACAAAGCCATCTTTTCTTGCCAAGTGTTTGCGTAACCAGCTGTAGAATTTACGGTAGAATTTACAGTAAATTGGCAGGTGATGGGGCACCTTAAAATGGCTCGTAGCTTTTCAAAGTAAACACCAGTTGTTTCAATAGAAACTTTTTATGTGGCTTTGATACCAGAAGTGAACAGGCAGTGAGAGAACATTGTGGAGCACATGAGAAGGCGTTGCCTGTGTTCCACCCTCCCCTCCCACATTCTCCTTTTAATGCAAAAAAAGTTAAAATGTACACATACACTAAACAGCCAAACTGGCAAGTTTGTATCTTCTTTGGCCTTTAAATACTAGAGTTCGTAGGTCAGATCAGCCTACCAGAGCTCCTGGATAATACTCTACTGAATTTTTGTAGGGTTCGGTTTTTCCACTGGCTTTCTCTGTACCCCTTTCTTGGCACAAAGTGATTGGCAGAGTTGCCAGCTGGCGATGCCCACTTTCAAGGATGTGAACATTTCCCCTTTTTGCCAATTAATTTTCATTGCTTTTCAAAAACTTTAACAAATTTAGCATCACGATAATTCAAATTTGATACGAATTTGACTTCCCACCCCGCCATCTTGATGTTTCTCTTCCTACCCTTATGGCATACATTTCCAAATTGCATTTCAAAAACTTAAAAATATTTAAACATTTTATCCTTGATCTCTCCTCCCCCCCCCCCCAGTTTTCTTCCCTCTTCACCCCCCTTCTCATTTTCGGCTCCTGCTAGATTTTTTACTTAACTATAACATATTCCCACATTTCAAGGAGAGTTACTCTTCACTTTGTCAGCTCACAAACCCTTACTTTTAAATCGGTAATCCTCCATTAAAGCCCATCTCTCCCAAGGATGTGAATATTTTCAAGCCTCTGGGTTCACACGTGGCCTGAAATATCGCCAGCACGAGGCCAATGGCGGGGGCGACAACACTCTTTCTGAATAGACTGAATGAAAGATTTCATGGAAGTGGGGATGCTAGTTTGAGCGCACTGCTACAATCCTAGGCCCATGCTCGTATGCAGGTGAAAAAGGTAAAGGACACCTGGATGGTTAAGCCCAGTCAAAGGCAACTATGAGATTCTGGCGCTCATCTTGCTTTCAGGCCAAGGGAGCCAGCGTTTCTCCACATACAGCTTTCCAGGTCATGTGACCAGCATGACTAAACCACTTCTGGTGCAACAGAACACCGTGATGGAAACCAGAGCACACAGAAACGCCATTTACCTTCCCTTCTATTTATCTACTTGCACTGGTGTGCTTTCGAACTGCTAGGTTGGCAGGAGCTGGGACAGAGCAATGGGAGCTCACTCCATTGCGGGGTTTCAAACTGCTGACCTTCCGATTGGCAAGCCCAAGAGGCTCAGTGGTTTAGACCACAGCCCCACCCTCTTCCCATATAAACATATAAACATGTGTGCTGGCATTCCGACTTAATAACACCCATGTACCTGTCTCAAACACAATTGCTGCCTAAAGCTTGTAGGCACTGTAAGGACGTCTGCAAAGCACTAGACTCCTCTGGTTTTAGCCACTGAATTCTGGTGTCTGAATCCAACACAGAGCTAGACATGCTTAAACCCACTAGAATAGTTCCTAAATCTGTATTGGATTAGAGCCTACAAATTGCTCTGGTTGATGCTGCCACCATTTGGCCTTAAAATGCCACTACATCGAATAATATATTCAAATATATGCTACTTGTGCGAGGTGCTGTTGAGAACACTAGCCCTGCCAAATAAGCAAAACGGTGTTCAGAGGAAGTAAGTTGAGTTGCTCTCCCAGATCCTTCCACCAAGGAAATAAAAATACCTACAAAGTACAATGCCACTGGTCATTAATAAGAACAAATTAATAGTTAATAACAACAAATGTCACATGGAGATTTAAACACTGACCTGGCTATCAGTATGCATGAAAAAAGCAAAATGTTTGTCCATAGAATTGTAGAATTGGGACTGTGAGCATCCTCTAGTTATTTTCTCCCCTGATTTCTTATATGCTTAATTCATTGAACAACATACAGTGGTGCCTCGCAAGACGAAATTAATTCGTTCCGCAAGTTTTTTCTTCTTGCGAGTTTTTCGTCTTGCGATGCACGGTTTCCCATAGGAATGCATTGAAAATCAATTAATGCGTTCCTAGGAAACCGACTTCAGACCAGGTCCGGGGACAGTCTGTCCCCGACCTCTTCTGAAGGCTGGGGGGGACAAGGGCTTTTCTTCCCACCCACCCCAGCATTTTAAAAACCCGGGACAGCGGAGGGCTTCTCCGCTGTCCGGGCGATCTTAAAATGCTGGCGGGCGGCATTTAAAATTGCCCCGGGACAGCGGAGGACTTCTCCGCTGTCCGGGGCAATTAAAGCCCCTGGGAAGGCAGGCAGGGGGGACAAAGACTTTGCCCCCGCCAGCCTTCAGAAGAGGTCCTGGACCTCTTCTGAAGGTTGGCGGGGGCGAAGTCTTTGTCCCCCCACCTGCCTTCAAAAGCTGTCCAGCCAAGGCTTCGCGGACCTCTCCGCAAGCAGCGGCAGCACTGCCGCTGCTTGCGGAGAGTTGCCGGCATGCCGAAGCCTGCGCGCGCTGAGATCAGCGCGCCCAGGCTTCGCGGACCTCTCCGCGAGCAGCGGCAGCGCTGCCGCTGCTTGCGGAGAGTTGCCGGCATGCCGAAGCCTGCGCGCGCTGAGATCAGCGCGCCCAGGCTTCGCGGACCTCTCCTGCCTTCAAAAGCCGTCCGGGATAGCGGGAAGCGCTTCCCTGCTATCCCGGACTGCTTTTAAAATGCTGGCGGTGGGGAGCAAAGCCTTTCGGCCCCCGCCAGCCATCCTGGACCACTTCTGAAGGCCCGGGGGGGGGGAGGCGATGCACCCCACCCCTCGCATTTAAAATAGGTCCCCCGAGATTTCCCAATGGGCGTTCGTCTTGCGAAGCAAGCCCATAGGGAAATTCGTTTTGCGAAGCGCCTCCAAAACGGAAAACCCTTTCGTCTAGCGGGTTTTCCGTCTTGCGAGGCGTTCGTCTTGCGGGGCACCACTGTATTTCAAGATGTGTGTGACCTTGTCTTGGTGATCTTGAATGATCCACTCTGCCGCTCTCTGAATTCTCTGCTGCGAAGACACAACGAGTCTCAGAAATAATTGTTTTCTAGACATCAAAACACTGCTCTTCCAAGAAACCGCTTGTGTGGTCTTGTTGCAGGGTATGGTTGTAAATACATTTTAAAATCCGGTATAATGCAAATAGCATTCCTCCACCTCAGCTTGCCAGAATCCATCTTCAAAATTAATAATCGCAGTCTCTTGCCAAGATGCTTTATAGATCCTTCTGGTTCTATAAATTATTTTTCCACATACCACACATGCAGGTTATCTTCTGGTTTGTCATGATGTTTTTTTTATGGCAGAGTTTTATGGTGCACTTGGGGAATAAGCAAACTGGTTTGCTTTCAAATGTAGTGTATTTCTTCACCAGAAATATATTTTCCTTTACTGAGTTTTTCTTTTATGTGGGGAGCTCTCTCCCACCCCAGAGTAGCTGCACATTTTTTTCTGCTGCTGCTGCTGCTGGTGGCAACACCACCACTTAGAATAATAGAATCACAAAATTGTACAGTTGGATGGGACCTTGGGGGTCATCTAGTCCAACCCCCTCCAATACAAGAATTATTTTGCCCAACATGGGGTTCGAACCCACAACCCTGAGATTAAGAGCCTCATATTCTGCCAACTGCACTATCTGCAGTTCGCTCAGTGTACTGTCCCCCATTGCCAGCCCACCTCAAGGACAGGACAGTAGTGTGGCCTTTGAATGAGCATGGCTCCCACCATGTTTGCCACTCATCTTAATTCACCCAAAATTAATTGTTCTGGCTTCCAGATCCACTGTATGTAACATAAGCTGCTTTCCATCTACTTCTTACCTCTGTCCCATTTCCTTCTCGCCCTCCCCTGGTGATTGGAGACAGTGGTTCTATCCACACCATACATTCAAAGCAAATTGAACACGCATTTAAAGCACATGGTTCCCCCCCAAAAAAAACAACAACCATGGGAACTGTAGTTTGTTATGTGTTCTCAGAATTGTTAACCACATGAGAGAGAGAAGGAATCACAGTTCCTAGGCTTGACTGAGTGAAGTTATGTGCTTTAAATGTGCATTAAATGTGCTTTGAACGCATGGTGAAGATTTGCCCTACGAAGTTCTACTGGAAGCACCGCAAGTCCTTTCTTTGTGTGCTGGCTTTTAGCACCTAGGATTATAACAATCGTGGGTGGTTTTCTGGCACTTGTTTTAATCTCCTCTAATCTGGTTTTAATTTGGTATTTTATATATAATAGAATCCATTAATTGTTGAGTTGTTCTGCCCATTGGCTATTAGGAAAGAGACAGAGGGAAAGAAAGACCAGGAAATGTTCAGTTAAAACCAGGCAAAAGCAGAATGCTGGCTCCAATCCAACACAATTGGCAGATCCTCTGAGTGTTCCTGTTTTGCAGGGACAGTCCTGGATTTACAGAAGCCGTTCCGGTTCCTGATTTGATCCTGTAATGTCCTGCTTTTCCTCAGGACATCCCTATTTCCATTGGAGAAATGTTGGAGGGTATGGAGTTATGCAACCCCCGAGCCAAGGAGATAAGTAACTATACAACCTTTAGAAGACATCTGAAGGCAGCCCTGTATAGGGAAGTTTTTTTAAAAAAATTCATTATATTTTTATATATGTTGGAAGCCATCCAGAGTGGCTAGGGCAACCCAGTCAGTTGAGGATGTTGTTGTTGCTTAGTCGTTTAGTTGTGTCTGACTCTTCGTGACCCCCTGGACCAGAGCACGCCAGGCACTCCTGTTTTCCACTGCCTCCCGCAGTTTGGTCAAACTCATGCTGGTAGCTTCGAGAACACTGTCCAACCATCTCGTCCTCTGTCGTACCCTTCTCCTTGTGCCCTCCATCTTTCCCAACATCAGGGTCTTTTCCAGGGAGCTTTCTCTTCTCATGAGGTGGCCAAAGTATTGGAGCCTCAGCTTCACAATCTGTCCTTCCAGTGAGCACTCAGGGCTGATTTCCTTAAGAATGGATACGTTTGATCTTCTTGCAGTCCATGGGACTCTCAAGAGTCTCCTCCAGCACCATAATTCAAAAGCATCAGTTGAGGATAGAGGGGTATAAATATCTTCTTCTTCTTCTTCTTCTTCTTATTATTATTATTATTATTGAGGGCATCCCTATTTTCATTGGAGAAATGTTGGAAGGTATGAAATGGAAAATGATCTACAACACAATAAATAGCAGTAAGGCTTCAGTCCTGTAATACTTATCCAGGAGCAAGCCCCATTACACATAGTGGGACTCCCTTCTGAGTAAATTTGCGCAGGATAGCACTGCTTGGCTGCAACCCTATTTTCTGGAATAAGTTCCTTGAAAGTCATCAGCACCTGCTTCTGATTCAGCATGCATAGGCTCTTAGAGGGTGAACCTGCCTCCTTCGCCACTCCCATACGGTATTTTATACAGAGATAGTATTTTAAGATTTGGAAGCCTTGGTAATGGGCCTAGAAATGGAATTTACAAATATTTTTTTAAAACACACATTTCTACACATCCCAACCAGATACTATGTGCCAGCAGACTGGAGGAGAATCACTCCTCCGAAAGAACAATTTAAAATAAAATGAATTATTATTATTATTATTATTGTTCATATATCCTCTCTCCTACCCATCTCCATTGTGGGCCATTTGCAGTTACCCATTTTTATGACTATTTGAAACGTAAAATTTAGCGATCCCCTGCTGCCTGGATGCAAATAAAATCCCACAATTAAAAGCAGACACCGTATATTTCTCCCTCTCTTTACATTAAATGTTAATTAAAGCTGCATGGAAGGCAAGTTGAATGTTTTGGGTTGTGGCGTCTTATCCTCAAGACCTTCGGTGGTTTTTAGAAGGTCAGGTGTTCTCTTTCCCTCTGTCCCCCAAGGGGTTTGCAAGATAATGCTTAGAGGGTTTGCAGGTGTAGCCAGGGCAAATCACTGGCACCTTGGGGGCAGAATCAGCTGTTTGCTTGCTTTTCAGATGGTAGTAAAAGGTAAAGGTAAAGGACCCCTGGATGGTTAAGTCTAGTCAAAGGCAACTATGGGGTTGCGGTGCTCATCTTGCTTTCAGGCCGAGGGAAATGGCGTTTGTCCACAGAAAGCTTTCTGGGTCATGTGGCCAGCATGACTAAACCGCTTCTGACGCAACGGAACACTGTGATGGAAACCAGAGCGCACGGAAATGCCGTTACCTTCCAACCACAGTGGTGCCTATTTATCTACTTGCACTGGTGTGCTTTTGAACTGCTAGGTTGGCAGGAGCTGGGAAAGAGAAACGGGAGCTCATTGCATTGTGGGGATTCGAACCACCGGCCTTCTGATTGGCAAGCCTAAGAGGCTCAGTGGTTTAGACCACAGCGCCACCCGCGTACCTCTAGTACACATGGCAGTACTAGTTTTTTTTACTGACCAGTCCAATGTTCCCCAATGTTCGTGGGAAATTCTCAGCAATAATGTACGCAGCTGAACTGGGTCAATTTTTAGTCCCTGGGAAAGGGTATAAACTTGCTGCAACTCTGCTGAAATGGCAGGTGGGCGGGCGGTTTCATAAACGCCTTACTACTGGAGGTGGTGAGGGCCTCAGGTCCATGAGACTAAGGGTTAAAGTGTCCAATGCTTTTACAGGGACAACTTCTCCGAAGGCACCAATGCCAGTGCAGTCATTTTGCCAAGTTGGAAAAAGTATACTGCTGCACACAGAAGGCTTCCTCCTTTGCAGTGCCTGCTCCCTTTCAAAGGAGCACAGCCACCTGCTGCCTGGTTTAATCTGAGAGGAGGCGGCAGTTTTTTCCTAGGAGAATGTTACTTTACTTAGGGAAAGTTCATGCACCGCGAAAGAACACTTTCCCCTTTTAAAAAAATGAGCCCCACAAAATTCTGAAACTGGCCCACAATGTCTATCAAGTAGACGTTTCTGGGGGAAATTATCCTTCTCCTATCCTAAATCAGAATTTCCTTTATAAGCAAAATGCTCATTTGGCTGCAATATACATAGGACTGGGATGCCGGTCAATTATCATCAAATTTATTTTTTTGTTAATTGTTGCTTAGAAATGATAAAAATAACTATTTGCAAGGAGTCCTTGAAGCAGCATACAAAGCTAATACTGCAAACTGATTACCTATTATTTGATTCTGATCAAGTATTCAATGAAGCCGAGAATGCTCTAGATATATATTTATATTAAGTATTGGTGCAAAAACCAGTATATCAGCTGTGTCTGTTTTCTGCACACCTTCCTTTCACGACATTCGTGAGGCTACACCTTCCTTTCCAGTAATATTCTCTCTCTTCTCCATCCATAAAATAAACAAAAACAGCTCCCTCCAAAAGGCAGCAGGAGTTTAAATAAAACATAACAAGCCCTGATAGTTCATAGCAGGAGGGAAAAGGATGCCATGAATCGGTGCCAAGCTGTTTCCATTTAGTGTGAGTGATTCTGCCTCAAGACTGGTGCCAGCCTCACTTCCTCATTTGGGGGCATTTGTTGGATCTGGGCCCAGGGTTTTTAATTAAAATGGGCTGAGGTGTGGCACTTGGGGCTGTGCCCTCTGTCTTCCGGCAGACCAGCTCCCCTCAGACAGACACGTTTTCCTTAATTGAGGTAATCCTTGGCGTCGTGTGAGCACAGGAGCTGATTCCTGCTGGGCTTTGGGCCTTGACATTTTCCAGCTATTCCCACACTCCAAGAGATCGTAAGCTGGCATTCTGCCACCAGAAATCTCCGTATGGGAAACGGCCAAGATGAAATACATTTTTTTCGCGCCTTATTGACAGGAGTGAAATTAAACAAGTTCTCCGCTTTTCTAATTCTTCCTGAAAGGGTTGATTGGCACCTAGATTTTAAATTTGCCAGGTGTCCTTTAGTTTGAGGGTTGCCCCCACAGTTTAACAACTCCCCAAGTGTTGCAGCTCCCTAGAACGCAACAGAGATCTTTATGTTGCAGTGCTTTTTAGCAGGGAGTACTGAGGTGGAAATAGGGGACGCGGGTGGCGCTGTGGTCTAAACCACAGAGCCTAGGGCTTGCCGATCAGAAGGTCAGCGATTCGAATCCCCGCGACGGGGTGAGCTCCCGTTGCTCAGTCCCTGCTCCTGCCAACCTAGCAGTTCAAAAGCACGTCAAAGTGCAAGTAGATAAATAGGTACCGCTCCGGGTGGGAAGGTAAACGGTGTTTCCGTGCGCTGCTCTGGTTCACCAGAAGCGGCTTAGTCATGCTGGCCACATGACCCGGAAGCTGTACGCCAGCTCCCTTGGCCAATAAAGCGGGATGAGCGCCGCAACCCCAGAGTCGGCCACGACTGGACCTAATGGTCAGGGGTCCCTTTACCTTTACGGAGGTGGAAACATGCAGCCACCGCTATTGAGCTGGGTGTTCGTATCATTTTAATGCACGTGCTGCCGTGAACTCAGTGGCAACTATAGATGGTTAACATACATAAATGAATTCATCTAGAACAAATTATTACTTCTTGCATCATTTTCATCGTCCAGCCGCAACAAAAGGATGAGCTGAGAGTCTATTTGCATGGTGGTGGTGGTGGGGATACACTGTTCCTCTCCCTTAGTTTCCCCTCGACTCACGGATTTTATTAATTTTTAAATTGCATTTATTACCCTTACCTTTCCTCTAAGGAACTCAAGGTGGTATACATGGTTCTCCCCTCTCCAGTTTATCCTGTCTCCGTCATCTTGCCTGTCTTTGCTGCTGCCTCTTTATGCCTCTTCTGGTTCTGGGAGACCAGATAAGAGGGGAGCTGGTTGCAACAGGAAGGGGAGACACCCTGGCTTCTTCACCAGCCTGCCTCATCTCTGCCTCTTGGTCCCCCTCTTTTCCAGCCTCCACTTCTGCCTCTGATTCTAGACTGCTCTCTGCCCCATCTTCTTTCTGCTCACTAAGCCCTGTTACCTCCTCAGCTTCTGACACCAGCTCTTCCCAGTCTTCTTCCTCTTATCCCTCTGACTAGTCATTATTGTCCCACCACCAACCCCCTGGCTCTGAGCCTTCTTCCCCTGGGAGTTCCTTTGGGGGGTTCCCCAGCTGATGTCTCCCAACATTCCTCTGCATCCAGCCAGCCCATGACAAACCATTAGATTAAGAGCTATGTATAAACCTTTGCCAATGTGTGAATGATACTATAGATGGAAGTTTAGCTGTTCGTAGTGTGTGTGTATTACCGTATTTTTCGCCCTATAGGACACACTTTTTTCCCTCCAAAAATGAAGGGGAAATGTGTGTGCGTCCTATGGGGTGAATGCAGGCTTTCGCTGAAGCCTGGAGAGCGAGAGGGGTCGGTTGCTCTCCAGGGCTCTCTGCAAGCCGTGGGAGGGCTGCGCGACTTCGCGCAGCTCTCCTCTGGCTTTTGGAGAGTTGCCTGCATGCCGAAGCAGGGAAGCCTGAGCTTCCCCCGACCCCAGCCCCCAGAACAGGCAGCTCTCCGCAAGCCGTGGGAGCCCGGCGCTGGGCTCCCATGGCTTGCGGAGAGCTGCCTGTTCTGGGGGCTGGGGTCGGGGGAAGCTCAGGCTTCCCCTGCCCCAGCCCCGTGCCTGGGGGGAAAATAATTCCCCCCCCAAAAAAACCCTAGGTGCGCCTTATGGGCTGGTGCGTCCTATGGGGCGAAAAATACGATAATTATTTTCAAAAAATGCTTTTCTTATATAATAGTGTGGTCAAGTAATAGCTGGATTTTTTAAGGTGCATTTGACAATTACCCCATTTTTATGTGAAAATATAATAAGGATAGCTGGTATTTGGAGTCTGTAATGAGCTCCAGTGTTGGTTCCCACTTGATACCTTATTTGTGTACTTCAGCTGAAAACCTCATTGAGATATGAATAAAAATGTCATACTTAACCTTAAGTATTCCTAGCCTAGCTCCTACATCAACAGAAATAAGCCATTGTGTCTTTTTAATCAAAATTTTCTCCACAGTTGGGAATACCCATTACCCCCTAATTACTATGATCAGGGACTAACTGATCCCAATGCCCATTAATAAAACCCTCAGATAAAAAACCCCAACAAACGTGCATATGTGTAGGTACACACAGATGTTACACACACACACACAACACAACACAACACAACACAACACAACACAACGGGGAACGTGAGCCAAAGTACCACAGAACAACTAATGATTTTATTATAGGAAAAATAATCAAGGATGAAGCGAAATGTTTTGGCATTTGGCATTTGCCAAGTTTGAAGAGGTCTTCTAGGAATTCTTGGCAGTCTGTGGTGATTAAAACAGCAAGCGAAAAGGACCCGTGATGCCATTATACAATTGCATCACCGTTGCGCGGTGTTCTAACCAGAGCAGATGTACTTGCACACATCAATACCCTGTCAATTTTTTTTTAAAAAAGGAAGACTAGCAAGTCACACATGTGCAAATTCTGAAATGGTGTAGAAATCCTCCCAAGTTAAATTGGAAGGCAAGTGAAGTTGGGACATAAGGCAGAGCCAGCTGTGGGGCAAATAACAAAATGGGCCAGGGCAAACAGCTGCTCATCCTTGCAGATTGGGGACCCCCTATTCTGTCCTCTAAGCGAGCATCATTGTGCGCACTGGCAAACCTCTGCCATGCACAGGTGTGTTACAGGTGTGAGAGAGGATCGTTGCTGCTCCCCCTGTCTCTTATACTTGGAAGGTTTTGCATTCTTCGAAGGCATTATAAAGACAGCTGTGACCCTGATGATGAGGGAGGGCTCCTACAATATGGTGCCTCCAATAGTCTTGAATCCCTTTCCCTAAGCACGCTTCGGAGGCACAAATTAGGAGTCCATTTGTTCCCCTCTAAAGATTCCTCAACTCGCTCTCAAAGGAAAGGATTTTCTGTTTTCTAGCTGGTTCCTATTATGTTTCACATCCAGTTAAAGAAGGACACAGGGCACCGTGAACTTCTGCAGAACTTTGTGCCCCTTGAATGGCTGGGCAAGAACACTGCTGGAGCCTTCTGAACTCCTGTTGGTTTCAAGAGAGGTTGCACAGGAAACCTTTCTGGTTGATTTGAATCCTATTAATAATACTCTGAATTCCTTCTTTGCCCCCGGCGGCTTCTCTTTCTGTGTGTCTCCTTTTTCAAAGCCAAATTGTTACATAAGTTTAATGAGACGCGTCTTCATTGAGGGCTGCTCACCTTTTCTTGCAGCTTTGTGTGTTGGAGGCATGTTGGGAGGGGCTTTGTTGGCTATCCAAGCCAGCGATTGAACCCTGATGGGCAGATCTGCTGGCATGTCTTAGAACAAACACATACAGATATTTCTGCCTGAATTTAACTCTTCATAGTCTCTGCCTGCCTGTATCAGCAGCGGGCTTGCCCCCAAGTTTGCACATAATGCTAAGTGACAAACCATGGCTTAGCTCCAGGTATAGTGTGGCAGCAGGAGGACCATGAGAGGAGCAAAACAGCAGTGATTTACTCCCTGTGTAGCTGCATGCACGCACATTCACATTTACCATGGTTTGGCTTAGAGTTATGTGTAAATGAGGGCAGTGTACCAGAAAAAGTATTTTAAAAATAACATTACTGAAATACCACTTTTTGCCTTGTATTGATGGTAATTAGTCTTACCAACAGATGCTGCGGAATAGAGGAATGAAGACTTTCCAAGTTGTTAGCTGAGTTAGCATTTCATGTCTTCAGTGTAACTTTTACCACCGCGCAAGAACAATTATTATTTTCTTTTTCTGAAAACCCTGCAGGCCTTTGGTTGAAGATCAACTATTGAAAGCGGGATCCTCTTGGATGTGTCTGTTGATATCTCTAGGGCATTTTTTTTTTTTTAGTTGTCTTGCTGTTAAGACAGTTGTCTTAGTTTTGAAAGACAACTTTGCTGATGTGATGAGAAAAATCCTCCTCCATGGGTCAAGTGGGTTGTAATGCACATTATTCTGATTTTATTTTGCTTTCTGCTTGTTTCAGGATCTGGGAATCTCCCCTCCTCCTGGCTGCCAAGGAGAACGATGTCTCTGCCATTCAGAAGCTCCTTGCCAGCCACAGCTGCGACATTCACGAGAGAGGTATGGAATCCATGCTTCTCATCATGTCCACATTGCCTGCTAAGATAAAGCACAAGGACCTTGAGGGGAGGAGTAAAAGGGAGACAGTGATAGAAAATGAGTTCTTGGGTTGAAGGAGGTCAAGGATGGCTTCAGATGTGGCAGAAGGAACAGGAAGTATATATGCCTTGTGCTTCCTGGTCCTCCTCCTACAAAACAAACTTGATTTACTTATATACCGCTTAATGCCAAAATAGGCTTCGAAGCAGTTTTCAGCTATAAAAACCAATGACACAAACTGCAAACACCCGTAATTACGATACACAATATAATGTTTCACATCTCCTGTCCAAATCACATCTGAAGTAGCTGCATGCCCAGGTGCCCCCATCACTTGACTGCCCATCTTAAACAGTGAAACAATGAGACATGGCAACTTATATTTGGGTCAGATCAGGCCACAACTTTATTGACTACAGATGTAAGAAATTTGGCATAGGCATTGGGTAGAACCAACCATTTTTAGCCTGCCTCCCAGGAGGAATTAATTTTGGGGTCAACCAGAAGCAAGGGAGTTATTGACCTACATCAAGGATTAACTCCTGCACTGGATTGCACCTGGGTGTCTGGATAGAAGCAGCTCCTCTGGATCCCTTTAACAGGATACCCCATTTTTTGAGAGGCAGGCAGAGGCTACAACCTCCCCTCTGTCCAAGAGTACTCCTACCCAATGCCTAAACCACCCAAGCTGTGATGGTGGCGATAACCACAGGGCTGTAGCCAATTCACCAAGTGGGAAAATGTCAACCTGGTCCTGAACATGGCGACCAACGATGCCCATAGTAAGGTTGGTGAAAGAACAATGCACCAACCAGACAGGCAGGGAGGGTGGGAGAGCCATCGAAGAAGTGGTAGTTGACACAGGAACGCGCCACCTTTTATTCCTAGAGCATGGACCCAAGAAAAGCCTGCAGGCCCCATTGGTCCGCCCCCTGGGAGTGGCCTGGCCCCATGTCTGCTCGTGATTTGCTAAGTTTGCGAGTGAGCAGAATCCTCCTGCTGGACAGCAAACTAGGCTCAGGAGCCTTGCCCTCCACCCATGAAGTGACCCAGTGGGACCTCCATCACCAGATTGTGGCAGGTGGGAGGAGCACTGGCCTGCAATGGTGTCTACCGGCAAGGGTGAGCAGACTTCTCGTAACTTCTGTGGGCGCCTTCAGCAGGTTGGCAGAATTGACAACATGTGGCCTCATATATCTGGTGGTTTCTCTAGGTGCTGTTGGGGAGACAGCTCTTCATGTAGCTGCCTTGTATAATAGCTTGGAAGCAGCCCAACTCCTGATGGATGCAGCTCCAGAACTAGTGAACGAGGCTATGACGTCAGAACTTTACACAGGTAATTATTATTAGAGACATCCATATCCTGCAATTCAGTTTTGCAATAAGCTCCCAAAGTGTCTCGCAATATGAATAAAACAGTAGTGAATAAAACATCAACAGTCATGAGATCTATTAAATATAAAACTACGACAGCACTAGGAACAAGCGATATTTACTATAAAAATGTGTCTAAACCAAAGCCAGAATGGGGTCGCCAGATCCATAACCTGGGCCCAGAAAACCACTCATGTCCATCTCACACCCTTGTCCTCGTGTCCTCATGCCCTTGTGAAGGCCAATGTTAGGTGGAGCCAGTGCTTCAGATCCCAAGGATGCAAAGTTTAGGAATTTGATCATAAGCAACTATTTATGAAGCAATATATTACCATTGTCTGTGTGTAATAATTTAGTTACATCTGACTTGGAACCATCGGGAGTTGGTGGACTCTCCTTCCTTGGAAGTTTTTAAGCAGAGGTTGAATGGCCATCTGTCCTGGATGCTTTAGCTGAGATTACTGCATTGCAGGGGGTTGGACTAGATGACCCTTGGGGTCCCTTCCAACTCTACAGTTCCATGACTTTGCCCTGCATTGGATACATGTTCTAGGGTGCATATTTGGTTTTTGTGGGGCCATGTTGCAGCCCTGCAGGCCAGGCTAGTGTTCTGTATGAATTGAGTGTGCATCCTAGAATAGGATCTGTATTAGGACTGGTGCTTTAAAACTTGTTCATGAATGACCTGGAAGTTAGAGGTTAGAATCATAGAACTGTAGAGTTGAAAGGGACTGTTCATTCCAGCTCCTTGCAGTGCAGGAATATTTTGCCCAGTGTGGTGCTCAAACCCATAATCCTGAGATTAAGAGTCTCATGCTCCACTGACTGAGCTATCAGAGCTGGTTAAGGTCACTGATAGCTATTCTCCCAAGGTTACCATGTGAACTTCATGACTGAGATGGCATTTGAACTTGGAGCTCTATGGTCCAAGTCTAATGCTGTCCAATATACTCGACCGGCGTATAATAATAATACTTTGCATTTATACAGTGTAGATGCTTGAGGAATTGATTGGGCTTTGCAAATTCCAATTATCAGCTGCATGATTCATGCCTCCCAGATCAATGTGTAAATTGGAACAAAGGG